CCTTCTTGTTGTCCTTGACATCCCTTGCCAGATTTAATTCCAAAGGGGCCTTAGCCTTCCTTGTCGCATCCCTGCCTACTCTGACAACGTCCCTGTATTCCTCCCCATTGGCCTATCCCCTTTTCCACGTTCCGTATACTTCCTTCTTCTGCTGGAGTTTTGCCAGGAGTTCCTTGCTCCTCCATGCAGGTCTCCTGCCCGCTTTGCTGGACTTCTTCCTCAGAGGGATGCACCGATCTTGAGCCCCACAACAGTGTCGCCCATGCCAGCCTGCCCTTTAATCCTTACCCATAGGCTCTCAACCTGCTCTTCATCCACCCCGAGGCAGAGCTCCACACATTCTAGTTGCTCCTTCACATAAAGGGCAGCTCCATCACCTCGCCTTCCTGGCCTGTCTATCCTGAAAAGCACGTAGCCATCCATGAGAGCATCCCAGTCATGTGAGCTATCCCACCATGTCTCTGTAACCTCAATGAGATCATGGCCCTGCGACTGCACACAGATCTCTAACTCTTCCTGCTTATTCCCCATGCTGCGCGCAGTGGTGTTCAGGCATTTCAGAGAGCCAATCAAGCTTCCCAGGAGAGGTGCAAGAGGATCCTCCATAGCCGTGTTCCATGCTGTCACCCCTGGCTGCATGCACCCGCTGGAGGCATCCTGACTCGAGTGGTGTTTTACTGATTACTGTGTCACTGTACCGTTTCCCTTCCCCCATCTTTCCTAGTTTAAAGCCCTCCTTACCAGGCTGCCCGAAGTACATTGTTCTCATTGTTCTCACATTGCACTGTTAACTGTGTTCCTTTGAGCCCTATTAGATAAACCCTTTTGAAGAGGAAAGGGGTCCATCTGTATAGAATATACAGCCCAGTGCAAATTCTTAGTTTTAAGTATGAGCATACTTTTGAGATTAAAATACAAAATAATCTGAAGTTAAATTGTGCTTAAACAGCATAGGTCTGCATATAAACAAGCCCCATTTCTGTAATTAATCCTGTGAAAGTTAGCTTGTTCTGAGTTAACATTAGTTCTTACAGTATTACAGTATTATATCTCCTATCTTATTTTTTTACATTAAATTGCTATGTTTCTTTGGAATGATGCATTGCCATTGCTTTTTTTTTTTAAATGAGATACTTTGTTTACTGAAAGTAAATCCATGAGAATGATGGAACCAAAGACTTGGCAGTAAAGCAAGTTCATTTCTGTTTTTCATAATGCAGCTATGTATGCTTGTTGTAGTGGCAGGATGTAGGTGGACAAAACAAAAAAAAAAAAAAAACCACCCAGCCATCCCAAGAATTATCCTGAGTCCCAACCCCTACAGCACAAAGAAAGAAAGATGAGAAAAACACCACAAACGAACTTGTAATATTTCCAGTTGATGTGAAGTCTAGAAATTGGGAGACCATTGGTGGTGCTTAGTAAACTATATGGTGGCATCAGCATGTGTCCAGAATTTGGAGGTATTGCAGTAGCATTAAAACACCTAGTGATGGGTAACCTTTTGGTTAAATGATTAAACGTTTTGGAGTTTAAGAACTGTTTCAAGAAAGTTCTCTTTAATTGGACAGAAATAACGTATTGGTAAAAAGTGCAGGTAATAAGACAAAATCTAAAGCCAGTATTCACTTTTTTGTGATGATTTCTGAGAAGTGAGTTGTAATATTGATAAAGAGAATCAAAGCATATCACTTTTAATTCTTGTTAATCAGGTTTTCTCCACTCATTAGTGGAAAATCATGTTTGACATTGAAATGATTTATTATTTAAACTCTTGCAGTTTGTATGCTATTGATATAATGTATTTCTACGGACTTCTCTGGATTTCCTAGCAGATTAAGTGTTAAAGCTTTTGCTGGATGTCTCAAGCTATTTTAAATCTGATATTTTTCACTTTTCCGAAACTAGTATGCAGTAAAGTTGGTATATTTTTAATAAGTGTCCAATTTCTAGACCATTTTTTCAAATACAGTATGCAAGCTAGTTATAGCTACGCTGAGTTTAAGATGCTCTATACTTGGTGTTAATTTCTGTAATATACTTTGGTCTGTGAAGCAGAAATGTTTTCATTTAAAACTATACTTTAACAGCTGAAAGGATACTCAAATAGTTTTCAAGCTTTTTTTTCTCCATGTGAACTTTTATTTCTAGAGTACAAATATTTTGCAATGACAAGATGTTGAAATTATTTCATAACATAAGTTAATCTTTTGGGCTGTTCTGTGCTGGTTCCTTCATTGCTCTTCAGGCTTATTCTTTTTATAGTTACTTTGATTGCTTTTTATATACCTCTCTTGACAACAGTGGGTACATCCACTTGGATAAACAGTGGATCTTAATCTTATTTGTCCATATGGATGTTTTCATTTTAATACAGTCTCTTGACTGCTCAATTCTTCCTTTTCATTACCCAGCTGATTATTGGTGCAATGGAAGAAGCTGGATCTCAGGAGATGGGAATGAATACCCAGAGTCAGCTGGTGCACAGCAAGTGGAATGAATTATCTGGTACAGCATTGCAGCATACGCAGTCCAACTGTGATGGTATGGAAGAAGCTGAGTATATTGCAAAGAATAGAAGGCTCCTGGGATCCGCATGCTGCTCTCAGGAATCCCGTGAGGAGACTCCTGGGAGGGAGGAAGCCCGTACTGATCCACCTGATGGCCAACAAGATCCAGAGAGTGAAAAACACAAAGAGAAAACTTTAGGTATGTTTTCTTTGGTATTTTGATTTTAAATTATTTTAGTTTCAAAGATTAGTTTCAAAGGGCTTTAATGTTTTCATATAGTGGTTAAATTTTTTGTCTAGGTCTTCATCTCAAATTCACTTTGTAGCCAGACTTTGCCATCTTTAACAGGATATTCTGAGAAAATTTGTACTTTTACTGAAAGAACAGTTCCTAATGTAAGAGCCCTTCTGTTGGTAGTGTTATTTTATTACAACTTTAAAGATTAATGTTGTTATTGCTAATTGGCTTTTTTAACTTTGTTTACTCTCGGTGAAGAAGAATCATGTTAGGGAACACTTAATGAAACTGGACATACACAAGTCCTTGGCCCTGATAAGATGCACCCATGAGTGCTGAGGGAGCTGGCCAATGCCATTGCAAGCCACTCTTGTAGCAAACCTTGTAGCAAAGGTTGTAGCAATTGGGAGAGGTCCTGGAAAAGAGAGGAGAGGACTGGAAGAGAGCAAATGTCCCCCCTCTCTTCAAGAAGGAGAATTTGGGGAAGTACAGGCTGGTCAGCCTCATCCCAATCCCTGGGAAGGTGATGGAGCAACTAATCGTGGAAACAATTTCCAGACACATGAAGGAGGAGAAGGTAAAGGAAAGGTGTCAAGAGGATGGGGCCAGACTCTTCTCCCTCTCTTCTCCGTGGTGCCCAGCAATAGGGTGAGAGGCAACAGGCACAAACTGAAACACAGGAAGTTCTGTCTGAACGTGAGGAAAAACTTCTTGTCTATGAGGGTGACAGAGCACTGGAACAGGTTGCACAGCAAAGTTGTGGAGTCTCCTTTCCTGGAGATATTCAAAACCTGTCTCAACACAGTCCTGGGTAATGTGCTCTAGGTGACTCTGCTTGAGCACGGGGATTAGACTAGATCTTTTCCAGAGGTCCCTTCCAACATCAGCCATTCTGTGACTGGGACTAGTCAGTCTGGATTTACAAAGGGAAATCATGCTGAACCAACCTGATAGCCTTCCATGATGAGATGACTGGCTTAGTGGATGAGGGGAGAACGGTGAATGTCGTTTATCTCAACTTTAGTAAGGCTTTTAGCGCTATCCTGTAACATCCTTGTAGATAAGCTGATGAAGTATAGGCTAGGTAAGTAGACAGTAAGGTGGATTAAAAACTGGCTGAACTGTTGGGCTCAGAGGGTTGTGATCAGCATGAAGCCGAGCTGGAGGCCAGTCCCTAGTGGTGTCCCCCAGGGGTCAGTCCTGAGGCAGATGTTTAACATCCTCATTAATGACCTGGACAATGGTAGTGATAAACCTTCAAGTTTTGAGATGGTACAAAACTGGGAGGAGTAGCTGACACACTGGATGGTTTTGATGCCATTCAGAGGAACTTTGGCAGGCTGGAGAAATGGACAGCCTCATGAAGTTCATCATGGGGAAGTGCCAGTCCTGCACCTGGGTGGGAATAACCCCTTGCCACCAGTACATGCTGGAGGTCGACCGGATGGAGAGCAGCTTTGCAGAGAAAGATGTGGGGACCCTGATAGACACCAAGTTGGACATGAGCCAGCAACATGCCCATGTGGCAAGGAAAGCCAATGGCATCCTGGGCTACATTAGGCAGAGTGTTGCCAGCAGATCGTGGGAGGTGATCCTTCCGCTCTACTCGGCTCTAGTGAGGCCGAACCTGGAGTGCTGGGTCCAGTTTTGGGCTTCCCAGTACGAGAGAGACCTAATAGAGCAGGTCCACTGAAGGGCCGTTAAGATGGAGCCTCTCTTGTAGGCAGAAAGGCTGAGCGAGCTAGGAGTGTTTAGCCTGCAGTAGAGAAGGCTCCAGTGGGATCTGATCAATATGTGTAAATATCTGATGGGACAGTGCAAAGATGATGGAGGCAGACACTTCTTAGTGGTGCCTAGTGACAGGATGAGGGGCAGCAGGCACAAACTGAAACACAGGAAATACCATCTGAATATAAGAAAAAATTTTCCACTGAGGGTGGTTGAACCAAGGTTCTCTCTTGGCCCAGAGACGTTGTGGAGTCCTTGGATAAAATTAAAATCCAACTGGATGCAGCCCTGAACAACCTGTTCTAGGTGAGCCTGCTCGAGCAAGAGGGTTGATGATGATCTCCAGAGGTGCCTTTCAGCCTGAACTGTTCTGAGGTTTTGTTTGCAGATTAATATTAAAATCTGTGATTGCCACATTCAGTGCTATCAAACCACTGTTGACACTTAAAATTTCAAAGACTTATTAAAAATATTCATGTGAACATCATTTATTGGCAAAACTCAAACTTTAAATTTCATTGTTTATTTTTTATATTTGATGTTATAAACTATAAAAGACTTGTGATTTTTAAGGTTAAATTTACTTTCAATGAATTGTATAATGGCACATAGTCAAGACAATTTTCTTGTTTTTTCATGATACCCCATTTGTCCTCGCTTTGTCAGATACTACGCAGCTATGAAACCAGTGTAGCTTGAATCATACTAAGTTGTCATGGTTAGCAGCTTGCTTTTAAAAGCAGGCTACTTTTCTGGTGTTATGTTGTTTTTCCCTCAATATGGTCATCTTCTATTCAATTTGTAGGAAAAGAAGTGCTATTATTAATGCAAGCCTTGAACACACTTTCTACTCCAGAAGAAAAGTTGGCAGCTTTGTGCAAAAAGTATGCTGATCTGGTAAGTAGTTTGTAAAGATAGCAAGAGTTATTCACTCGTTTAATATTAAAAGTTCTGTCATACAACAGTTAACACAGGACACTAAACTTTCTCAAATGTTTCACAGCATTAGTAGAAAAAATGATGAGCGTTCAGGCTTCTTACGAATATTGCTTCAGCTAAACTTGCATGTAGTCATTTCACTTCTACATGACTGCATAAACAGAAAGAAAAATTAGGCTATGATAACTTTCTCATAACCTGCTAGCAGAGCGTAACATTAACAAAAAAGCTAAGAGTTTTAGTTTCTGGAATAATCATAATTTTCCTAGTCTGTGTGTTGCATGCTAGCTCTCATGCTAGCATTTCCTAATTTACATACTTTAGGATAAAAGGAAAGAACAGTGTGAGAGAGAGATTTGAAAAAAGCTTAGTTATGATTAAGTAACTACTTAACTATTTATATTCCGAGTTATTTTTTGGAGGTTGGAAAGATCTGGCTTTTATTTTGCTTTGTGCTTTCTGATCATACAAAAGGGTGGATTTAAAAAAGACAGATATCTTCAGTAACAGACCAAAAGGCAGAACACTAGCAGTAAGTTATCATATCGTTTCCACATAGAACATTCCGCATGAGTAGGAAAAAGTATATTTTCTTCTCTAAATTAATTGATAGCAAAAAGAAAAAAAGCTGGCTTGTGAGTTTACTTTCCAGAATGAGTCTGGAGACGAAAATACTTCATATGTTCATCTTGAGACAGGACATTCAAAATCAGAAAGACTGCAAATACTGTGTGCATGTTTTCCACCACATTTGTAGCTATAAAATGAATATAAAAGTAAAGATGAGACACCTGACTAGCTTAAAAAAGCATAAGGTTTGTTTTCTCTGAACTGGTTGTCAAGTGTCTTATACCTGGCAATGTTTCTGAAAATTACATGATGCTTGCCAATATAGCATAACTCTGGGGGGGGGGG